TGTTCAGAAAAGAAAGTCAACCCCGAATGCGGGCCCATCACCCAAACAACCAAAGAATCATTGACTCCGTCATTCAAGGGACACATCCACTCAGTGTAGTTGAGCAGCAGGGATTCAGAGACCTTCTGCTTCTCCTCCAGCCCTATCTAGCAATTATGTCTCGTGGCACTCTTAAAAACAAAGTGGAGAAAGCAACACAAGAAATGAAAAATAATCTGAAATTGGCCTTGAAGAAAGTTGAGGTTATAGCAACCACCACAGATTGCTGGACCACACACCGACGGGGTTTTATAGGTGTCACTGCGCATTGGCTAGATAGTGCAACTCTGCAGAGGCGCTGTGCTGCCCTAGCCTGCAAAAAGCTAAAAGGGTTGCATACTTTTTCTGCCCTTGCTAGTGCTCTCAACAGTATACATGTGGAGTACAACATCCGAGACAAGATTGTTTGCACAACAACTGACAATGGTTCAAATTTCATAAAGGCCATAAGAGTCTATGGTGAGCTGGATGAAAATAACAATCCAGATACTGTACTTCAGGGTGCAAGGGAAAATATGGGAGGAGAGAGTGATGAAGAAGAGGGGGGAGAAATCACAGGTGTCGAGTTTGTTGAAGCCAGGACAATATTGGATGAAGATAATGGCTTGGAATGCCAGCTGCCAACGCACCAACCTTCTCAACCTGATCTCCACTGCTGATGCCTTGAAAGCAAATGGAAATCCAGTGTACAAGCGGTTGTCTCGTTCAGCATTGTCCAAGTGTTCAAGTCTGTGGAGCAAAAGCTCAATATCTACCACAGCTGCTGAAATCATAGAAGATAACTGCCAACTTCAGCTCCTGAGGCCAAATGAGACACGGTGGAACTCCCTTTTCTTTGCCGTGGAGGGGATTGTGAGAATCCTAAAGGAACAAGGAGAAGGAGCAATCACAGCTGTCTGCAGTGCGCTAAAGATACTGTACCTATGTATGTACTTGCCATTTTATTTATAGATTTATTGACTGCAATATGAGGTAGCTTCATATTTAGTTAATGTCTTAGATAAAGTGTCGGCATCAAGTGTATACAAACCTGAAAAACCCTTGAGGAGCCGACCCAGGTTGCTTCTACATTTACAGGACAAATAATGCAAAAAAATAAAAACAAACGGGTAGAGCTAAACTCAAGGCTTCCTCTGAAAAATACAATGATGTTTTATTTGACAGTTCTATTTTCAAATTAATAATTTTACAATGTTTCAATATAAAAGTATTTTACTGTCTAGTTTTTTTTTTATGTTAAGTTATGTTTTCAAAACTTGATTTTCAAATTATTTATTCTGGAGTGTTTTATTTTATTTACATTTTTTATTTACATTTTAAATTTTTCAAAGCTTTATTTTAACATTTCTTAATTTTGGATTTTTTTTTTTCTTCTTTTTCCCAGCTTAATTTTTAAGTTTTTTAACTATTCAATGTTTTTTTTTTTCAAAGCATGGTTTAGATTTTTATTTTTTATCTAATAATGGTTAATTTTTTTAATGTCACATTTGTCATTTTTTTCACAGTTATATTTTTCATTGTTTGAATTTTCAAAGCTTGATTGGAAAATGTTTTACTCTTTAATTTTTCACAGTTTATTCTATAATTTGTTTATATTTCAATATTTCATTTTTTTAAAGGTCGGATGTTTTACCTTCATCTGCAGTTTGAAGCACTGTTAGAACAAGAAGGTCCTGGATTTGATTATTGGCCTGAGGTCTGCATGGAGTTTGGATGTGTTTCCTCATCCATGGTTAGGTTAACTGGTGTCTCTAAATTGTCCTTAG